CAAATTCATAGAGTAATGCACGTTATCAGTGACATTTCAATGCATGCATTCCCTAAAAATGTATTGAGCTTTTAGTACTGTTAGCCGAGTGGGGCATACTTTTACGCGCAAAATCTATTTTCTTTACTTTACTTCAACTTCAATCCTTACCATCGCTATGTACCTTTGTGCCTCGCAGATCCAGACAAACTTTCGCAGCTCGCGCGTCATTGGATCGGAGGTTTACTAACCCATCTTCCAGCCATGTTGGCCATCTGCTCGCCAACTGTGAATTGTTATCGTCGGTTGCATAAGAAGCTCGCCCCCGATGCTGTTAATTGGAGCATAAATGATCGATTCGTGTCTATTCGTGTCAAAAACACCGATGAGAAAAGGACTTATGTAGAAAATCGTCTTCCCTCATCAGCATCTTGTCCGTATCATGTGTTGGCATCCACCATTGCTGCCGGAATGGACGGTATTGAACGCAAACTGGAACCTTGTGAGCAAGGCCAAAAGCCGATTCAGGGTCGCCCGTCTCCCACTTGTCCATTATTACCCAGCACGTTGCAGGAAGCACTGCAATTGTTGAAGAATGATCATGCATTTGTAGAGAAGATAGGTCCAGAGTTTGTGGACTGGTACTGCCAAGTGAAAGAACGAGGCGACCTTTTCAGTTTGGGCCATATTGACATAAAGAAAGATTCGAAGGTCAACTTGGCTTGCGAAAGATATGAATATTTACAGTACATTTGAAGGTGCGGTAAAATTTATTTGATAACGAGTTAATTGCGAATACGGTACTTTGTTCCGCTTCCAAAATATCGGAGTTAAATAGATTAACGCTCCACTGGTTACCTCCTATACGATTATCTCATCCCCAACATACATTCCTCTATCGTAGATATGAACTACATTTACTGCAAATGTGTTTTCGCACACAGTAAACGGCTTCATGTATGTAATAACCTTGCATGTTGTATTCTACTCGACAACTGTTGCTTTTAATTCAGCATGAAATCAACAAGCAGTGCCTTCTTATGTTCCTCATCTGACTGGATGTGAAGGTAAGGATTTAAGGACTCCCCAGCCATTAGCGCTACTGCATCACATATCTTGCATTTCCTTCTCTTGTTGTTCAATTCCTCTTTCGAATGAGACGTTGGCTGCAGGTGTGCCTATTCGGTTCTAGCTAATACAATGCTTATTAGTTAACCGAACTTCTCAACCAGAATCAAGTAAAAATTTCGGGAACGGACGTTCGATCGGAAAGTTGGCAAAATTTGTAGGACACTCAGAGATCGACTATTTTGATTGCGTAGTACATACATTGGCAGTTTGTCACAACATATGATACAGAAAAACCCCTTGGATGTGCAGAAATTAGTCCACTCTCTATCAGCCAACTAGGTTGGTTTGCTTAATGAACAAACGTAGTGTTAGGACCGATTGCTATACATGCATATGCTGTGAAGGTAAGGAACCGCTCATGTAGTCACTGGGAATACAAACAAGTCGGCACTTTCGGGCTTGATTCTCCCAGCGCCGACACCCCATGACCGGTTTCATCCTCGTTTGGACTCAGATAGTAATAGCCTGAGCTGAGATAGGACGCGCTGTCTATTAGTTAACGGCTGACACCGAGTTTCACTGACTTCTACCTCAGCTCGGACTAACTCCATCTGTTGCATCCAAACGAGGACGAAACTGGTTATGAAGTGTCAGCACTATAAGTAGCAACACTGCAACACGTGCGTTTCGGATACGATCCTTGTGATGAGAAGAATCAAGGTCTATTTTGAATTGAACCTAGGTCTCAATACTGATTGCATGTCGCAATCCAATCACAAAGCGGGTACTCCAAATCCAAACTTAAAGTCGCATTTTGATTACAACGCTTTTATTCTTGAACCGTAACAATGCTCGTACGGCTTTCGCCTTTGTGAGGCTTAGGACCTGAACCGTTGGCACCGGTGTATCAAGGGGAGAAAAGCAGGTGCTTGACATGTCCAGTAGGATGGTTGGGGTGAGAAACATGAATCCAAAGGATATGCGAATCATCACACGAAACGAGCATTCCGTGTTATCGATACCTCAATGAACCCCTAACTTTACGATCTGCTGAGGCCGTGGCCATCAAACAACTTGGCCCAACTGTGTGTGTGCAGAAAGACGCATTTGTGACCCTTACTCGGTCGTGATAGCGGGCCGGGAACAGATGACAAGGTGCCTGCATTTGCGTGTGTGTGGTCGACCTGTACTTTCAACTGCCTTCATTTCATGATGATATAAATTCACACGCCTGCAGTACGCACTTGAAGATATGCAGAGAAAAATTTCCGACATTAATTCTTGCGTCACTCTTGTATTAACTTTTCTGGCAAAACTTTCCTTGGGAACTAACTGTCTCAATTGTCTTTTGATTTAAAAGCGCCACTGTATGCTGATAAATAAATAAATGTTATATTCCTCGGTGTTTCGAAGTGCAGTCCAACTATGTGGTCTGATCAATTGATTGCACAAAAAATGATCAATTTGTTCACGCTTTTTACAATGGATCCAAAACAGGTACTAAACTAATTGACAGGATTAAGGGATTAAAGAAATTAAAAAGCAGGAACAATAACGTAAGCAGATTTAAACAGATGTCCAGTTAAAGTAATACGGCCACTCGTGGAACCATCCCCAGGGGACCTGCTTCCATGCTAGGTATTCCCTCGAAAGGTTTCGCTCGCACTTCCATGAAATAACTGGCCGTGTGCCGGTGTGGCATAGTAGCATATGAGCCATCACCTGTATATCATATGTTTTGTTCATTTTAGAGCTGCTTTTGAACATGTATTATGGGCCATGAAGGCTCAGCCCAGTCCGTCATGCGGATCATTCTATTATGGCACCTTTTTATACGCCAGACAGTTGGTGGCAATTTGCCTTGCATAGGTAACGTCTTTTATAATCTGGAAGCTGTAATCCGTCGCCACAGGAGATCAGCCCATTCGTGGCCAACTATGAAATAAGGAAGAATATGGAAAAGAAGAATTATGTGAAAGAGGTAATATGTCGTTAACGTAAAAAATAGGCAGGTATGTTTTGTACATCGGCGTAGAAATCGATCGAGCCGATCATACGATAAATTGTGTAATGTGACAGCCGGAGACAGATGACTTTACGAGTTGTTCATAGGCAAAAGTCGCATAGGGAATCAGTTATTGCCATCACTGAATTCAAGTATATGTTTCTGGACTGTTAACTTCAGAAAAGAGGGGGAAATGATTAGCACTGGAGAACAAATGTAGCGAAAGGGATCGCAGAACAACATTACGAATTAATCAATTTGTGGTGGAAAATTACGAAAATAGTTCCTGACGTCACACCAGTAAATAATTTTGCTCTCGGTTTTAAGCAGAAGACAGTTGATATGAATTAAGTTTAAAGAGAGTAAAACCGCATGGAAGGTAGCCTTAAGGAATAGCATAAGAAGCGGTTTGTAGCAGTTCATCCCAGCTGATCAAGTTTTCTCTGGCGCAGTAGAGTTGATGTTCTCCGGTATCATACGTGATCCGGCCCTTCTTCATACAGCTTTTCATCATCAAGTTGAATGTTTATGATCCATTTCGCTCTGTCCGTTGGCAGATAAGCCTTTATCATTTTCTTGAACATGCAGAAATGTTTAATACATCTAATCTCTTTTGGCAGCTTATTCCAAATGGAGCCATACCTAAGAAGATAGAAATTGCTCCTTAGACTGCTCTTGAATTTAGGTAAATAGAATATGCATTCGTTATCTCGCAGTTCATAAATGTGGTTTTCCCGAAAGTGCAATTGATAGGTTCCAATATGTGCTTTCCGCCACGCGAGTTTGTGGAGGAAGCACAGATTTAGTTGCATTCTTCGTAACCACAGAGGTTCAAGATTCAATTGCTTGTACCTATCTCGGTATGAAGGAGCGGTTGAACAGCCAAATACGCGCTTCGTAAAGGCGCGTTGGACGTTTTCAATGGCTCTCAAGTCAGCCTTTCGCAAGTTACTGAAAACAGCACAACAATATTCAAGCAAAGGCCAGATACTGATTTTGAAAGCAATTAGTCTGGTTTCTTTCAAGGTTAGCAGGTGGCATATGAGCCCGACCGACTGCTTAGCCTTTTTCACTATATGATTTGTTTGTTCGTTAAAGTTTAACGAACTAGAATATCTTAAACCTAAGTCACGAACAGACTGGCTGATGGGAATGACTACATTATGAAGCCTGAACTCTTCTGCTGCTATCTGACATCCATACGATAGAATACTACTCTTCGATGTTGCAAATGTCATCTGCCACATATCAGCCCATCTCTCAATGGCTTCCAAGTCGCTTTGGATATTGTTAACTTCAGCGATACGCTGAGAACCTGGGAATGTGTAGACCACCTTTAAATCATCAGCAAACAAATAAGGCTTCCCAAATTGTATAACAGAAACAAGGTCATTTATATACAGTAGGAAGAGTAACGGGCCTAAGACACTGCCTTGTACCACTCCACTGGTAACTGGACGAGGTGAAGAGGTATAACCATTGATATCCACAACTTGCGATCGTCCTACTAGGTAAGATTGGATCCAAGAGTAAAGCGGATTTGTAACACCGTACTTACTTAATTTACATAACAGCTTTTTGTGTGGGACTCTGTCAAAAGCCTTTTGCATGTCGAGGAAGATAACAATGCACTGAAGACCTGAGTCAATTGATTCAGTTAGATGATTAAGGAAGTCAACTTGACAGGTAACACACGAGCGAGACTTCAGAAAGCCATGTTGTGAAGGTGAGAGAAGTTTGTGCGATATTAGGAAGGAAACCAAATGTTCCTTAACAATTCTCTCTAGCATGCGTGAGAGAATGGCTGTGTGACTAATGGGGCGGTAGTTCCGGATGTCAGTTTTCGACCCGGACTTATGTCTCGGTATGACCGTAGATGTTTTCCAAAATTCGGGATATTGACCAGCCTGGAGAGACAAAGAGATGATATTTAATAAGAGAAGAGGGATATCCTCTCCGCTGTATTTGACTAAAGCAGAAGAGATCCTATCGGGGCCGGGTCTGTAGGATGGTCGTAGACAAGTAATCATACGTTTTATCGTAGCAACACTAAGCTCGATCGCTGGGACTTGTTCAGAGAAGTGAAACGAGGTTGACAAAACCAGGGTTTCTTTTTCAACATTAAAGGATCTAGCAAAGTATGAGTTAAAGGCTTCCGCCATGGCGATTGGGGAATCAATGCAATCACCTTCAGGCATGACGATGTGGGAGGGTAGGTCAGTTTTGTCACCTCTCCTTTTCCTCAGTAATGCAGTCACCAGTTGACTTGTATTACTACTATTTACAGCCCGTCGTTCTTTCTGCATGAGACGGGTGCGGTGTTTCATGTCCGTCTCAATTATAAGGCGTTGGAGTCTCAGTAATACACTGAAGTCGTGAGTAAGTTCAAATGTTCGAGTTAGCACTCGTATTTTCCGCTTGTCCTTTGCGTTGTTAGCGTATTTAGAAGAGACTCTCGTATTATCACAGGAGGCAAGTATGCTTAAGCACATAGCCACATTGTCATAGAAGATATCGGAGGCTCCCTTAATATCGGACGAAAGAAAGAAATGGTCCCAATTTTGGACCCTAAGCAAAGCTGAGGAATCTACCCAATTAATATTTCGCAGGAAGTGTGGAACCATCGCAGACCTCACATGCGACGACTCAGCTATAAGTTTACATCTGACTATTTTGTGATCACATCCAGGGAGACCGTCAATTACATCAGTAGCTATCTGGGAGGTGCCTGAGGT